CAGTTGGTTTAATTACTATTGGAAAATGCTTGTCATTCCTCTGTAGCATCTGGTCCCCACTGGACCCTCATCATTTCCTTCACCTGCTCCCCCCCACCGACCAAACTGTGCAGCTCTGCAACTGCATCCTGGCCCATCCTCACCCTTCTGCCCCCAACCCTCACCTCCTTGTACCCCCAATTTTTTCCCAATAAAAAAATATTTAAAAAAAAAGGAAAAAAAATAACCTGTGTGGCAAAATCGGAAGGTCACAGAGCACATCAGTTACACACTGTGGACAATGATTGTCTCACTGAAAAGCACTTGTGCAACTGGACTGTGAGCTAAACACTATTTTTCTTCTTGAAAGATTGACAATTACATTTGTATTGTTAAGTTTGAATTGTGGGTGTCTATTTTCCAACTAATCCTGTGTTATACCACATTATCTATTAGGCTTTGATATAATATTGTTGTAGTTATGTGTTGTAGAGTCGCATGCGACTCATAGTGACCCTAGGTACAACAGTCCTAAACTCTGCTCTATACCGCGCCAATCTGTCTCCGACACACCTATTCCCCATTGCCCCAGTCACTGAATCAATCCATCTCATCGAGAGTCTTCCTCTCCTGCACTGTCCCTTCACCCTCCCAAGCATGACGTCCCTCTTCAAGGACTCTTTGTAACATGTCAGACAAAGCTTCAGACTCCTTGACTCCAAGGAGCAGCCTGGTTTAACTCTCTCCAAGATGAACCTGTTTTGTTTTTTTAGTGGTCCATGGTATAGTCAATACTCTTCTCCAGCACCACAGCTCAAAGGCATCAATTATCTTTCTATCATCCTTAGTCATAGTCCAGCTCTCCAATGCATAGCAAGTGACTGCAAAGACCATGGCCTGTATCAGGTGCACCTTAGTTTCCAGACTGACATCATTACTCTTCAGTACTCTGGAGAGGTCTCTTACAGCAGACCTTCCCAATGCAGTAAGTCTTTTAATTTCCTGGCTGCTGGAGCAAAGAGTGTTGATTGTTTAGCAAAACTAAAGCTGTTAAAAATCTCAAACTCTTCACCATCTATCATGATGCTGACAATTGGCTCAGCGGTGAGAATCTTTGTTTTCTTGATTTTGCACTTCAATCCATATGGAAGGCTGCAGTCCTTGACCTTGTGCAGCAAATGCTTCAGGTCTTCCTCAGTTTTAGTAAGCAGGGTTGTGTCATCTGCATAAAGCAGGTTGTTGATAACCAAATACAAAATACTCACAATATTAAAAACAGGCAATAAAATATTCTCATTGCCTGTGAGAGTCTGAGTTTCTCCCAAACATTTAACTATAGGGAACCTCTAGATACAGGGTCTACATGAGAACAATTAAGTGTTCTGGAATTTTTTTTTTATACAATGTCACCTATAATAAGAGTTGAATGCTTTTGTTGTAGCTACATATTGTCAAGTACAAATACTAATAACCATATCTGACTGAACAACAGATCTGAACCCAGTCCTATGCTGTGCTTTTCTCATCTTCTCTGACATCCTTGAGACCACTGATGCAGTCACTTTGTCGTCAATCCATTTTCTTAAGGTTCTTTCTCTTTTTTGTTGACTTTCCACCTTTCCTAGCATGTTGTTCCTTTCTAAGAAATAACCTCTCCTAGCAACATGCTCAAAGGATGTGCAACGAAGCTTTGCCCTCCTTGCCTCTAAGGAACACTTGGGCTGCACCTTGTCCTAGACATGTGTTTGTTCTTTCGGCTTATTCTTCTCCAATACACGTAAAAGGCATCAATTTTTCTTCTGTCATCTTTCTTCACTGTCTGGCTTTCAGAGATGTAGAGCAAGTAATTGGAAAGACTATGGCCAGAATCAGGTACACCTCTGTACTTTGGAGAGGTCTTGGACAGTACATTCTCCTAATGAAGTATGTCTTCTAATTCCTTGACTGCTGGTGTCAAGGGTGTTAAAATGAGGTAACTGACAATTTCATTTTTTTCTCCATCTATCACGATATTGTCTATTGGTGCAGATGTTGTTGTCACGTGTCAGAGTCTGAACTGACCCACAGCTGACCCTCCAGCGGGTTTTCAGAGGCAGTTATTCACACGGGAGGAGACTACCTTTGTAGTGCAGCACACTATCGTTTTTTTTTTTTTTTTAAAATTCCATATGTGCTTTATTACAGATCTGGGAGGACAGCAAGTTGGCCCCAAAGTTGGCCTCCGCAGCACAGTATCTTACCACTAGGCCTCTAGTGTGTTAAGGAGCTCCACTGCCAACCCAAAGAAACATGGTTTGAATCTACTGGCTGCTCCTTGGTAAAGATTTGGGCAATCTCCTCCTGTGTGATTTACAGTCTCTGAAAACCTGCTGGAGGGTCAGCTTTGAGTTCTGAGTTGGTGCCACATAATAATAACTTAAACCAAAACAACAAAGGGCAACAAATTTCATGCCAAAGTGTGTGAAAATGCAGCTGTCTTCTATAAAGCCATTAGAAAATCCTGAGCCTGCCAAGTTAATTTTAATTCTGACTCATAATCACCGTTTAGGACAGGACCAAACTGCCTCAAATGGTTTTCAAGGCTTATTCTGTGTGGAAGCTGACCGCTACATCTTTCTCTCTGCACAGCAGCTGGTAGGTCTGAAATGCTGACCTGTAAACCAGCAGCTGAATGCTTTAGTATTTTCTATAAAGGCAAATGTTGAAGAGTTAGGCAAAATGTTAACAATGCCAGTCTTCTAATTCTTCCCTGGAAAATGTATTTTATAAGATACTACACTTAGGTCAATATGCAATATGTTTACTACTGTTATTTTGAAACTAATATTTTAAGTTTTAACTTGAAGATAAAATATTGTGGGGGGCCATGAACGGCCGCATGGTCGCCATTACAAGATGGTGCTGATTTCCTGCTTCTCTTTGTTTGCCTTAATCACAAACAAGACCTTATTTGGGCACAGTGCTCTCATTGGTCAATAGCTTGATCTCACGTGGGGCTAAGGATCCAATGGAGGCATGACACATGAGACTGAAGGGTGGAGGACCAAGAAGGGGATAAAAGGCCGCTCTCTTGCTCCTGCCACCACCCTCTGTAACCATACTCCTGAGTAAACCACTGTGAGAAGGAATCATTGGTGTGTTGTGTCCTTATTTCGGCGGGACCGGTGAGGCGCGCAACAAAATATGGACAGATAAAACATAGAAGGACCAACAGTACTGCATACCCTTCCTATAACCCTATCAAATTCTAAATGTAAAGGTAAGAAAGTAGTGCCGGTGGTAAAAATACCACATGTATTGAGGAATTAAGATTTTAAACTGGCATTTTGGAAAAAAGTCAACTAAAAAAATGCAGTGGGGTAAAAAATTTACTTATCTTCTAATTTTGTTACATTAATATAGTAAAATTTTTCCTATGTAGTTTTTTTATATAACATATGCAGGTGGTTGTTGTTGATTGCTGTTGAGTCAAGCACAACTCATAGCAACCCTATGAACAAAAGACCTCAAGTCTTTCTACTGTTTCTGTAAGTGCTGTTGAGTTGTAGACAACTCACAGCGACCCTATGAATGAAAGACCTCAACACCTGTACAAATTTCATCATTTCTCCAAGTTCATAGAGTTTCCAGAGGCAAGCTATTTCAGAAGTGTATGCCAATCCTACATCCAGGCTTGTTTTAATTGGGGAGCTCCAGCAAACACTATCTACCGTGGGTAACCATTATCACATCTGACACATTAGTGTCACAGTGTTCAGCATCACAGCAACCACAAGTTACCTCTGCACAGCAATGCACGGACCAGTGCTATACCATCGAGAAGAATGTTTGACCAAAAACAATTAAAAAACCAGGACCAAGGGCCACAGGCCCTCGGGCCCCAATGAGTTTTTAAATAGGAAGCCAAATACAATCAAATCACAGCCAATGGCCAGTAAACACTGTACCCAAATTCTCACCAAAAAAGAAATCAAACCTCTGTAGAGTCATGCTGTAACTAGCTTCATTTATCAAAGCTCATAATTTCCAGAGGCATGTTGTTTAGAAGTGGAGGTCTCTCCTGCTTCTAATATGCAGGTTGTATTCTAATAATGATATATATATGCAAGATAGTGACAAAAATTTAAGGAACTCTGTTATAGAAGGAAGGCTAGCAAGCAGTTATGAGATTTGATTTTTCTGAAGAATGGAGATAAACTATCAAGTTTGTCTCTATGATTCTATATAACTGAATGGCAATAGGACTTGTTACTGCATTGAGAAAGCCAGCTGTCAGAGACCTCTATGAAGTACTGAAGAGCAACGATGTCAGTCTGGAGACTAAGGTGCACCTTGAAACAGGCCATGGTCTTTGCAGTTACTTGCTACGCATCAGAAAGCTGGACAAAGACTAGCGATGCCAGAAGTGATGCCTTTGAGCTGTGGTACTGGAGAACAGTACAGAATATACCATGGATTGCTAGGAGAAAAACAAGTTTATCTTAGAGAGGGTGAATCCAGGCTGTTCCTTGGAGGCAAGAATTCTGAAGCTCTGTCTGACATACTCTGGACATGTTGCAAGGTGGGGTCAGTTGTTGGAGAGGGACGTCATGCTTGGGAGTGTATAGGCACAGAGCAGGAGAGGACGACCCTTGATAAGACGGACTGATTCTGTTACTGGGGATATGGGGGTAGGTGTGTCGGAGACAATAAGACCGGCACAGGATAGAGCAGGGTTTAGGGTTGTTGCACATAGGGTTGCTATGAGGCACGTAACAACAACCCAAACTAAGAAAACTGAGAGTTACAAAGGTCTTACTCTTGGGAGGAAAGGTCTAAGAAATGAAATACAGGTTACTTCTACATATTGTACTATGCACGTAATTAAGACCTGCCTTCTTGGGTCTCGGTATCCAGCATTTTAAAAAGAAAGGAAGGGTGAAGGGGCTTAGATCATTTATTTACCTTCTATTTCTAAAATCATATATATTTTTTATTAAATTTTATACTTTTTAAATTTTAATGAGTGTTTACAGAGATTTTGGATGTCCATTCATTCATTACTGCCTTTTTCTTCCTGCCCACCCCACTCCCCCCAGTTTGCTCTTCTCTTTGAAAAGAAAAAGAAATATTCTTTCATTGGTATACAATTCCCTTCCCTCTGCCTCCGAGTACACTCCACCATGCAACTTTCATTCTGGACTCTTGTCATAGCCTAATACCCAATCATATATATCACTTTTAAATAGTTTTCTCCCTCATCTGCTTCAATTTATCCAATTTTTCTCAGTCTCACCCCAACCCTGATATCAGTCCCGTTCTACAACAGTGGCACTATGAAGTATTTGTCCTTTTGTGACTGAGGTATTTCACTCAGCGTCCTCCAGTGTCACTCACTTTGAATAATTTTACATGAGTGCCTTGTTTTTTTAAAAAAAATCATATATTCTAAATCAAGGGTCAGCAAACTGTGGCTGGACTACCTATTTTTTTAAGGAAATAGTTGTTTTTATAACTGCTTTTGCACAAAAAAGGCCGGAGAGAAATAGGTGCATGGCCAGCAAGCCTAAAATGTCTATTGCTTGGCTCTTTAAAAGAAGTTTGTTCACATTATTTCTCCGATCCCCCCAAAAAGACAAGTACAACAAATAACAAAATCTACAAGCTTAGTAACATCTGTTAATTCTTGTCTTCTTAGCAGGGAGCCTGGGTTCAATTCCCAGCCAATGCACCTTATGTGCAGCTTCCATTCACTCATTGATAGGCTTACGTGCTATGACACATCAAGTGGATTTCAGCATTTCCTGGACTAACCTGGACTAGGAAGAAAGGCCTGATGACCTATTTCTGAAAATAAGCCCATGAAAACCCTCTGGCTCACAATGGTTTGATACAGAATCGACGGTGGGCAAAGCATCCAGCATTACCTTGGTGCCTTGTGCATAATCTCATCAAAATTAGAAGCTATCTCAATGGCAACTAAAACCACTGGACTAAAAACACCACTTTATCAGGTCAATTATGGTTCAAGCGCGTAACAGGTTACTAAAGAATATCACATATTACCCGAAGAGTGTTTCCTTGTCAAACACAGTGTCTGCTGGCATGTTCACAGGAATAAGGAGGTCTGGGTGAGAATCAAAATGCACAAAACTGATGTCACTGGCGGGAAGATGTTTTGAGCCAATTGCCCGGTATATAAAAGGCAGAACCTGCAAAGATAATCACATGCATTCAGAACTGGCACTGAAATCATAAAATACACTCTAGGCTGAAAAATAATGCTAAACATAACTGCAATATAGCTTGTTAAAACTGTAACCAAGTTTGTTTAAAAAGTAAGGGTAGACAAACTTTACTGTAGGGAAGTCTAGTAACTATCTCAAACCCTAATTTCCCACCCTCCCGCCCCCCCAACCTCCAACTACCTGGTCCAAAGGCCTGATGGACACTTTTAGTTGTTATGTGGTCACCACCTCAACTCAAGAGGTATTGTGGGGAAGCCGAGCAGCACTGGGGTTCCTGAACAGACTGCTAGTTAACGTGAAGTAGTGACAGTGTGTGTTCAAGCTATCCGGCTCCCTCCATTCCTTTAAAATGGTGGTGGTGGTGTTTTTGCTAGACTTTCTCCATTTATATTTTCTGTACTTCTCGGTTGAAAACTTGCTAATATTGCCTTATCCAAATTTCATCTTCTTGCAGGTTCACCCACACCATGTCTTGATGCCATTCAGTCAGCCCTCCAGTGACCCTACAGACAGACTAGACCCGCCCCATGAAGTTTCCAAAACTATACTAATGGCCAGCGCTGAAATCCTGAAGGCATGGGGTTCAATCTCACCAGCTGCTCTGCAGGAGAATGGATAATCTCCTCCCATGCGATTAACTGCAGGGTGCATGAGCTACGGGTTGGTTCTAACTTGACAGTGCACAACACACTACCACACGTTTTATGGAGCCCTGGAGACATGGGATTCGGTGTTGGACTATCAACTGAGAGATTAGTGGTTTGAACCCTCTAAGCCACTCCTTGAAGCCTGTCCGCCATGAGTGACTCTGTTGGCATTTACAACACCAGGAGCACCAAATAACAATGACCACTTCTTGGGAGCAAATTGTAGCAGTTTCTTTCTGCAAAGATTTAAAGTCTTGGAAACTCTATGGGGTGGTTCTACTCTTCTGTGGGATCACCAATAGTGGGAAATGAGTGAACAGCAGTATATTTTGGGTTTGTTTTTTTCAGTTTTTAATATTTATGGAGGAGCACGACCCCCTCAGTTTGCACACAAGCTTGTAATAGTAGCCCACTGTTTAATCACTATGTCACCAAGGACTCTTAACACTATGTCTAGCTTGCAAACTTTTATTGCTGTCAAACTGGATCCAACTCAGCACAGGTTTCCAGAATCTGTAAATAGCATAGGAAGAGACTGTCTTTCTCCCATGAAGCAGCTAGTGGATTTGAACTGCTTGCCTCTGGATTGGCAGCACAACTCCTTTCCGCTACCAATCACTGAGTCTGAAGTGCTGCTGGCAGTTCCTTTCTCAGCCTCATCCACTAGGCCACCACAACCTCCTTTTTCTTTTCTAACTTTCCCATTCATAAATCCTAAGGTCTATTAATGTCGCCTTTGGATTTTTTTTTTGAGATCCATTGTCACCCTATCAAGCTTCTAGAAATCTAACTTAAGGCATTACATGCCCTAAAGTAGGGGTCCTGGTGGTGTAGTAGGTTAAGGGTTGGGATATTAACAGAAAGGTTGGCAGTTTACGGTAGAGAGATGAAGTCAACTTGCATTAAATTTACAGCCTAGGAAATTCCATGAGTGGTCATCACTTTTGTTTAGTAGCTAAATGTGAAAAGCAATTAAAGCTAACATCTTATGTTAGCTTTATCTGTATGCTGGATACAAGTTACCATATTAAGGAAAGTGCACGATATACAGAAAATACTCCGAACGGCCCCAGGAATAGTCTAATTGTTGCAGTGTTTGGAACATTATTACATCGACCACAGACACCCAAGACACCCAAGGCTTGATGCACCTTACTGAGTCACTAAATGCCAGAAAGTCACCTTGCCCCCTTATCACAGCAAGTTTGTGATAGAATGCCTGGGGGGGGTCCCCCCTCATGTCAGTGGCAAAGAAACTGGACTATCATGGTTCGAATCCCCGCAACCGTAGTGTTTGGGTGGTGTTGTGTACCATAGAGTCGAAAAGACCCATAGCTGACACTCTGTCCGGTTTTCAGAGGGAGTTAATGGCACAGGAGGAGACTGCCCAGCTTTCTCCCGCAGAGCAGCTGGTGGATTCGAACTCCTTGCCTTGGGTTGGCAGTGCAACTTCTTATCACTGAGCCACGTGAACTCCACAAATGTCCTACCCTGTTTTCTCAAGTTGGCAGCGTTAGCGCCTTTCCCCACCGCGGGGAACCTGCAGGCCAGCTCCCCGCCTCCAGTGCTCTGCCCCAGACATGGCTTCGGAGCGCCGGTGCTCACCTCCTGATGGTCCTCCACCACCCACACCGGGAGCTCGGGGTAGCGCCGGAGGCGAGCGCGCTCTCCTGCGTTATCACTCATGTTTTCCCGCGGTCAGCTCGGCAGCCAGACGCCGAGGGACAACAGCTGCCGGGAAACCAGGGCTCTCTCCCGGACGCCACCAACTTCCCCGGCGGAAACGCGTCCTCACCCGGTTGCGGTTCCTGATTGGAGGATTGGGATGACGGAGGCGGAACCAGAAGAGTCATCTTAATCTATTGGCTAAAGTGTCTATCACTCTTATTGACAAACCAATCACCGCGCCGGAGGTGCTGCTGGGAGCCAAAGAATTTCTTTCTCATCTTCGTGCTTGGGTTTGCTATTAAATTTCCTGGGTTTCCTGTTCCGGAGGCGCGGCGGCCGCGCTGCTCCTGCAACTTCAGTGTAACGGGGTTTTGCTCAGACGGCGACTGCGCGGCCCGAGTATTTTGTAGGTAACAGGGTCGCCTTGTGGGTGTTGGAAGAGGGCATGCTTCTGAGTATCCACATTAAAACGGGGCCAGAATCCCGGGCTGGGGAAGAATGGCGCCTGGGAGTTGGGGTCCGGCAGCCCCTCTTTAAGAGATCTGTAGCAAAAGAGCAACCCGAGGCCCGCATCCCAGTAATACCTGGAAGTGAAATGAGACCTTTCCTTCATTTACGGAGTGCAAGCGGTGGACCAGGTCCTGGGCTGCCCTGATCTCCTAGGGGAGCAGGACTGGACCTTGCATCGGAGGCTGCCAGTCTGGCGGGAGATTGCAAATAGGGAAATAACGCAGTTATGGAGCGGCGACATGAAGATCACCAGCCTGCAACAAAGAGGAATTTTTTAAAATAAAAATACAATTTTATTTTTCAAAATCCAGTCTCTGCACGTGCTAACTGTGCAAAACACCTCCTTCAATTTCCCTGCTTGCAAATAGCAACCCAGAAGTTCTGAGCTGACTCGGAAAATATTCCCCTTTTCCAGTTGGTAGGGACTTCCAGACTTTTAAGAGTGTGCATCCACAACACCGTCTCACTAAGCCTTTATGAGGTCAATTTCATGATCCACATTTTCTAACTCTAGACATCATGGAGTGATCCTGATCACCTCTACCTTCAGCCCACTCGTTTTGGTTCCCTCATATCCTGTGCCTTGGCATATTATAAAGTATTTTTTAAAGTTATACAGAGTATCAGAGCTCCTGGAGTCTTGCAGAATGTGCACTTCTCCTCTTTGGGTTCCCCTGGGTGTGGGACTGTGGCTCTCATATACCTTCAGGTGCTTAAGCTAAGGAAAAGCCCTGCTGTCCGCCAGCTTTTGCTGCTGTACATTTGTTGTAGGAAGGGAAGGAAAATAGGCAGTGGCAACACAGACATGAATACTCTTGGTGAGATACTTAAAGGCCATTGAGAGTGGGCGGAATACTTTGCCAGGGGCCGTGAAATGTGGAAGATGAATGCCCAACCAACCTGTCTCATGAAGGACTTGGAAAACATGTGGATGATCAGACAGACACAGAAGACAACAAAAGGAGACAGTGTCTGCTTAGTGTATGTTTAGGAGGATGTGTAGAAGTACGTATAGACCAAGAATGATGGAAATTTAGAGGAACAACTTCACTGAGGAGGTGGTTATCTGAGATAAGTAGTTGGGTAGGAATTCATTAGGCAAATATGGAAATCTCAGAGATTATGGGAAGAACAGGAGTATAAAATCAGCCGAGTGATAGGACTTGGCATAATAAGCAGATGGGAAAATTCACAAGACAAGGGTGTAAACTTGGAAGGAGATTGTGGTGGTCTTAAGTGCCAGCGTGGAGCTTGGGTTAGATTCAGCTTGGTGGTAAGTAGGCTCTGGTGCCATGCTTAGCTGTCTGCATGTTAGTCTGAGGACATTAAACGGAATAGGAAGCATTGATCTATTGTTTGACGCCTTTTATTCATCTGCTGTTGTCTGTACTCACAGCAGACAACAATAACAGCAGCATTTATTCAAGGAGCCCCAGTGGCACATTGGTTAAGCTCTTGGCTACTAACGAAAGCTCACTTCTAACCTGCCAGCAGCTCTGAAGGAGAAGGGTTTGGCAATCTGCTCTATAAAGATGTACAGCCTTGAAAATCCTTATAGGGCATTTCTGATCTGGCCTGTAGGTTTATTAGGAGCCAGACTTTCAACTTAGTGGCAGTGGATTTGGTGTTTTTCTCCAACATGGTGACATTGTGACGTTGTTATTTTCAGGTACCGTCTGGTCAGCTCTGATTCATCGTGACCCTGTGTTCAACAAAAGGAAGCTGCCAATCCTGGGCCATCTTCACAATTTCTGCTCTGCTGAATCCCGTTGTTGCAGTCCTATGTCAGTATGTCTTGTTGAGGATCTTCACTGACTTCACCAGTAAATCTGAAATGATTATTTTCATGAGTGCTTTGAAAGGTTTATACTTAAGCCCATTGATAAAATCTTAGATAGACTTAACATATGTAAGTGTGTTTAAAGCCTTTTATATTCAGTATCTGAGTCCTTAAAAGCATTTCTGGGTTTCTGGTGTTAGGTCATTCAGGTTCACATCCCTTCATGGAATATTGAAAGAGCAGAGAACAGGAAACAGAATGATAAGTTGCATTTATAAGTTATATTTGAATCAAAGCTAGTTTTGCTGTGATTTTAGTATTTGATGGATGTCTGCTATTTTGCAGTAAAGAAAAGTAGAGGATGGAGAGGGGAAATGATTTCTCTCCCAGTCATTTATCAAATTGAAGATAGATCATGCCCAAGTTTTCAGGTTGTTTTTGTTTTTAGCTACAGGTTACTTTGCATCATAAGAAAGTTATTAAAGACATCTTAAAATTTAGTTGTAGAATTTTATTCCATTCAACATGCTCTTTGTCTTATAGGTGTGCTAAATGTGCTGAAGAATTTACAAAAATCAATATTGATCTTGTTGTGGATCATAACAGCATTGGTAGTTTGGGGAGCACTTATATGTATGTTTTATTCTTTCTTGTTCTTTAGAGCTCATGATCGTTGTGAAAGATGTGAAGATCCAGAGAGCGTTTTGATGATGCAAAGCAGTACTTGGTAATGGCAGCTTGAAAGAATGTAAAGAGGAGTGAAAAAGAGAACTGAGCCCTAGAGGGGAGAATGGATTTATGAATGTGAAGAAATGTGGTCTTTCTTTCAGCAGCAGGCTATGCACATGACTAGAATCTCAACCAGGCCAGAGAATGAGACATCAGATCCCTGCACAGAGAGGAATGGGATATTTAATTGGTGGTGATTATTATATACCTCGGAGATGGAACTTACCCATAGCTGACCCTCCATTCAGAGCAGCTGGTGGATTCGTACTGGTGTGGCAAGTAACCAAGAGGTCAGCAGTTTGAACCTGTTGTCTCCTGTGCAGGAGAAAGATGAGGCGGTCTGCTTCCATTATGGTTTACTTCAGAAACCCCATCGAGGTTCACAGAACAGATCTACAGCAGTGGGTTGAGTTTTGGTCAAGAGGAAGCAGAAAAACTTAAGCCCACTGCTGTAAAGTCAATTCCAACTTATAGTGGCGTTTCTATGGGGTTTCCAAGGTAAATCTTAATGGGAACTGCACACCTCGAGTGAGCACTGGTGGCCTCGTGGTTAAGGAGTTGTGCTGCCAACCCCAGGGCAGCCAGTTAAGAGTCCACAAGCCGCTTTGTGGGAGAAAGATGGATAGCCTTCTCCGATGACATTTACAGCCTCTGAAAACCTACTGGAGGGTTATCTGTGAGTCAGTCCCTACTAACCTCAGAGCAACAAGAGGCAGAGTGTCTTGAGATTAGAGATTCTAACCTTTATGGATTGGATTGATGGTGGTTGTAGAAAGGCCAGCAAGAATCTCATTCTACTAGCCAGATTAGAAATAAGGATGTGAAGTGGATGTATTCAAGAAACATTTGGGAAGGAGAAAGAATAGGAACCTTAGTTAACTAAGGAAAATGAGGGAGGAAAAGTTGTTAAGCATAATATTGGAGGAACTGGTACCTGGTGTCATATCACTGAGATAGATAGTTGAAAAGGAGCAAATGCTGTCTTAGAGGAAAACGTCCTTCATTCTTTTCAGCGTATGTTAGGTTGAATTTGGGAGTTAGTGAGACACTGAAGTAGAGAGGTCTAGGAGCAGTCTGCAGTGTAGATCTGGAACTCAAAAAGTGATGGCTAGAGATGTAGCTTCTGAAGTTAGTAATAAATGGGTGATAGTAAAATCAACACAAGTAAGTGAGTGATGAATGACCTTGCAAGAGAGAATGAGCATAGTCACTAGGCTGGACCTCTGAGGAATATCAGTTACGTGAAGGCCTGGTAACAATTAGAGAAACTGGCACAAAGTACCAAAAGGAACAGCCAGAAATGTAGACGATACAAGGAAGAGTGCTCAAGAGCGAAGGGTCTGTTTGACAGAATGCTGAGTCTCCCAAATAGGTAAGCATGCAACTATTAGCTGACAGGTCAACAGTTCAGAATTGGTCAGAGATGCCTCAGAAGACAGGTGGACTCTGGCTCCCAAAGGTCACAGTTTTGGAAACTGAGAAGCTGTTCTCTGCACATGTCGGATCTCCATTAGTCAGAATTAAGTTGGCATAGTCAGTAGGAAGTTGTGCTGCCAACCCAAAGGTGGCACTTCTCTGGTGATTAGACTCCACTAAGCAGTGGGCCACAATTAACACCCTTGGTGCCAGCAGTCAGGAAATTTAGGTGGCACATTGCACTGGGAAAATCTACATTTAGGGACCTCTCTAAATTATTGAGGCATAATGATGCCAATTTGAGGACTAAGGTGTATCTGTTTCAGGCCATAGTTTTTCCAGTCACTTTCTATGCATTTTGAGACCTGGGCAATGGATAAGGTTGACAGAAGAAGAATTGATGCCTTTGAGCTGTAGTGTTGGAGAAGAGCATTGAACATCCCATGGGTGGCCAAAAGAACAAACAGATATGTCTTGGAGAGGGTGCAGCCAGAGTGCACTTTGGAGGCAAGAAAGATGAGGCTTTGTCCCACATACGTTGGCCATATTGCTGGGGTGGGGGCTATTCCTTGGGGTGTGATATTATGCTGGGAAGGGTGGAGGGTTGATGAAGTAGAGGAAGACCCTCAAACCAGGTGGCTTGACACAGTGACTGCTGCAGTGGGCTCTTGTGTGTCAGGAAGTGTGAGGATGGCGCAGGATAGGACAGGGTTCAGATCTTTTGTTCGTAGGGTCACAATGAGTTGTACTCAACTTGACAGCACCTAACAACAAGAAGTTGACAGCAACTGACAGCAGCAGATTTGTAGAATGAAGCATAATAAATTGAGGAAGTTCTGATGGTTTTGTGTTTTTGCTTTGGCAGGAGACAAGATTATTTGTGGAGAGTCGAATGGGAACAGGATATTAAAAAGGATGGTTACAGTGAAGTGTTAAATCGAAGACCTACTGGAACTCAGGGATCGTGAAGTTATCAGGGCACCAACCTTCCAGGTGGGTATTATTCTCCAGTGCCACTTTGAGGTCAGTATACAGCAAGTGAATAGTTTAGTTCTTCTGAGGCTAGTGTATTGCTAGGCTCTTGTGACTAAAATAGTAGGAACAGAGGAGTTTAGGTTAAGAAGAAATAAGTCATTGAGAGACCACAGAGTCTGTTCTGCATGGGGAGGAAGGTGACAATAGGAAGATGCTGATACAGATGGAACTGATGACACAGCGAGGTCCATGATGGGGAGTGAGAGCCTGCAGAACGCCTGGTTGGTGATGTTGTGGGATGGGGGGACAGCTCTCAGGAGCTCCAGGCTCTGGGAATGACTGTGGCAAGGGGCTGAGGAAGAGTGTTGGCTGTGAGGACTTTGTCACTAATAAGACCCCATATTAGCTCTAGAGGATATTCCAGTGTCCTGACTAATGAGCCTGCCACTTGGTCATAAGGTGATTAAGAATTATAAAGTAGTTGTATAGGAGGGGTCTTTAAATTGTTTTTGCTTGTTTGACTTTTCCCCTGTTTCTTTTCTCCAGTAAAGCTGTAGAATGTCATTCCACCCAGGACGAGGGTGCCCCCGAGGGCGAGGAGGACATGGAGCCAGACCCTCCGCGCCAGCCTTCAGGCCCCAGAATCTGAGACTGCTTCACCCTCAGCAGCCTCCCGTGCAGTATCAATATGAACCTCCAAGTACCCCTTCCACCCCCTTCTCCAACTCTCCGGCCCCCAATTTCCTGCCTCCACGCCCAGACTTTGTCCCCTTTCCCCCTCCCATGCCTCCATCAGCCCAGGGCTCCCTTCCCCCCTGCCCAGTGCGGCCCCCTTTCCCCAACCACCAGATGAGACACCCGTTCCCTGTGCCGCCCTGCTTTCCCCCCATGCCGCCCCCGGTGCCCTGTCCCAACAACCCCCCTGTGCCTGGAACACCTCCTGGACAGAGCACGTTCCCCTTCATGGTGCCCCCTCCCTCCATGCCTCACCCCCCACCACCCCCGGTCATGCCCCAGCAGGTGAATTACCAGTACCCCCCAGGATACTCGCATCACAACTTCCCACCTCCCAATTTCAACAGTTTCCAGAACAACACCAGCTCTTTCCCCCCCAGTGCTAGCAACAGCAGTAGCCCTCACTTCCGGCACCTCCCTCCCTACCCTCTGACCAAGGCCCCCAGTGAGAGGAGGTCCCCCGAAAGGCTCAAGCACTATGACGATGAGCCCCGGCACCGTGATCATAGCCACGGCCGAGGCGAGAGGCACCGCTCGGTGGACCGTCGGGAGCGGGGCCGCAGTCCGGACAGGCGGCGACCAGACAGCCGCTACAGATCTGACTACGACCGTGGGCGGACGCCCTCTCGTCACCGAAGCTATGAGCGCAGCAGGTAAACCACCGGGTGGACAGTTCCTGGGAGCCGGGAGGCCCGGCACTGTCAACTTCCATTTATCACACCCAGACCCGAAAGGCCCAGCCCTGCATTTTGTTCTATAAAATAAAAATAGAAATTAATGCATGTTGTTTTACAGACTATCCAAATAAATTGATAACAGGAAAAGTTGACTTTGGAAAGCATCCCAAAATTAATAATGCAGGTTTATCCCAAGCAGTATAAATCTATGACTCTAATACAGTTGCCTTTATTAATGATAACGCTGTCACCTGAAAGATCTTGTATCTTAAGGGTTATCACGTTTAATTCTATTCATCAGGCCAAGTTCTGACTTGTTAATAGAGTTTACTTTCTGATATTTAGGAGAAATGGAAGTTTATTGTATTTTGTTGCCTTCAGGGTGTTTGTGAAATGAAATTTGAATGGTTGCATATTGTCAAAATGACAATTTAAAAGTAACTAAATCTCATTGGGTTGTGTGTAACACTTATGCCAGAGCAAGTTGTTCTTTTAGGATTTCTCCCTTGTAGATTGTTCTCCATTTTTTTCTAAAGACCAAATATCTATAAAAACCATGAGGAATGTAGTTTCAAGCAGACATTCTTAACCTGTGGTTCAGAGATGGGCTTTGAAAGATGTTCTGGAAGACAAAGCAAGATTCTTTGTGTATGTTTTCCTGTAAGAAATCTGTAGCTTCTAGCATCTTCTCAGAGAAGTGAGAGCAAGTCAGTTATCCGAACACTGACAACTGTTGATCCAGATGAATAGTTATTCTAATACTTACACCTCAGGAGCTCTTAGTGGAGTATTAGAGGTCTTCCAGTTTTTCAAGCAAGGTATGAGGTTTCTTTTACTTTCCCTTCGTTGTCCTGTGGGGCTTTTATTACAGACATGCTCCTGCTCCTCAGTGCAGCTCACTCCGTTCCACGAGTCTTCCCTCCCGCTGGTGCTCCACAGTAACGACAGGACTCCATTCATGTTTCACTTCCCATAACTTCCTTACTCTTCTTGCTTTATGGGCAGTGGAGAGTGAACCAGCGCTTGGAAGATCTGGGCGGAGAATGGGCAGTTGTCTCTCTGAGGCTGCAGAGGGAGGTAAATGGAAACATATTTCTTGTGTGTTGCGGTTGTGAGGTGCTCACGAACCAGTCCCAACTCATACAGCCATCTGTGTGAAACTGCCCCTGTGGGGCTTTCAGGCTCTGGTCTTTAGAATAGATTGCAAGGTCTTTTTTCTTGTGAAGCAGCTGCGTGAGCTCAAACCTACAACCTTTCTGTGAGCAGCTGAACACTTAACCCATGGTACCATCAGGGTGCTTTGTTTCCTGCTTAGATGACTGATTCTTGATAGGCCAAAAGCTGAGTGAGAGAGTTGTTTTTGTGAGGTGCTGCCGAGCCAATTATGACTCCTCGTGACCCGCTGACCAGCCGATCAGAGCTTTTCATGTCCTGCACCATCTTCACCTTCTCTGCCATGTGCAGGCTGGTTGTTAGCTTGGCTTCATCTCTTTTGACATGAAACTTTTTTGTCATTAATTCTCTACTGGATTTCATTATTGTCAACTAACTAACTATGTTCTTAATAATTTTTAAAAAAATTTTTTTTCTACTTTATATGGTGATGATTTCAACTGAGAAGGGTGAATGGTTTGTTCAGACCTTTAATAATCCCATCTGTGAGAAAATGTTTTGCTACAAACACTTGACATTCTTGATCATGTGTCTTTCCATTTGAGGGGCTGTTGTTGGAATATTTGTCAGGGCTTTGGTGTAAATTCTAAGCAGAAGTTAGGGAAACACAGCTGACCTGGAGTGAGGCTATCTGTCAATAAGTGAAGTCAAGTGCCAAAGAAGTCGCTCTTTCAAAAGAAGTTGTGTCCTAGACCACAACTCTTCCAGTTCCACATTAAGGACCTGCTTTGGTGGTTCGCTTGTCTTTCTAAAGTGGTCTTTATTTGTATAATGTTGTAGTTACTTCTGACTGCTGTCACATGAGGTCTTTCTCCTGAAGCTGGCTTAGTGGAATGGCTGCATTATAATTGACCCCTTGGGAGCTTTAGGGGAGTGGTGCACACGGTCAAGCAGTGGCCAGCTTACTGAAAGGTTGGCAGCTCAGGTCCACCCAGAGTCACCTTGGAAGAAATACTTGGTGATCTGTGTCTAAAAGATCAAGCTCAAAGCCTGTCCATTGCTGTCGAATCAGTTAGGGCTCGTCAGGGTGCTATGGGACAGAGTAGAACTACACCACAGGCTTGGCAAGACTGCAGTTGGTGTGGAAACCGACAGCCGGTATCTTCCTCCTCTGAGCCTGGTGGGCTCGAACCACTGACTTAAAGCAGCTGACCTCTTTATCGTTGTGCCTCCAAGGCTTTTTTTTTTGAAATGTGACAGCCCTTGAAAACCCCTATGGAATGCAGTGCTGCCCTGAACCATACAGAGTCGCCATGAGTTGGCATCAACTTAATGGCAATTGATTTGGCTTTTGTTTTGGGGCTTTAGGTGAGTGTAAAGTCATCTGCTGTGCATGGCACTGTGCTGTGAAATAGGCATGGAGCATATTGTTGTTGTGTACCATCGGGATGTCCACAGCAACAGTAGGGAGTCCTAATGTGACTGGGAAGCTGGAGTGTCATCCACTTCCTAAAGAACATGCCTCTGGAAACTATGAATTTTGACCAACAATGATAGTAATAGAAAGGCTTCGGGTCTTTTGTTCATGGAGTCGCTATGAGTCATGCTCTACTCGATGGCAATCAAAAACAACTTTAAGGGCTGGTGGCCTAATGACAAGAAGTTGCGCTGCAGTCCCACAGTTCGAGGCCACCAGCTGCTTCATGGGAAAAGGATGGACAGTCTCCTCCCGTGTGATTAACTGCCTCTGAAAACTCGCTGGAGGATCAGCTCTGGGTTGGTTCTGACACTGTGGCATACAACAACAGTGTAACTTCTAGAAGTAGAATGATAAAAGCCTAGAAAGTCACAGATTCATTGGAGAGATTGTGTTATACTTATGCAAATTTGGTAGCCTTTCCCCCCCATGGTTATTTCTTTTTGCATCTTGGAGTAAATGAGTACATCTTCAACCCTTTTTTTCCTCTTTTCCCAAAATATGGTTGAATAATGTTACAGGATTGCTTTAGATTCAGCAGCATGTAGAAAATATTTGTGAAGAGCTACATGTAGATATTTGTGTTCATGAAAGAATGGAATTCTTCTCAGGCAAAGAAACGGCTGCAGATGCAGCCATTGCGCATGTGGAGAGGCAGAGGGCAGCTGGCTTCTTGGAGCCAGTGTGCATCGTGCTCCTAGCCACCCTGCCCATGGTGCAGAGCATGGCTGGTTGGAGTGCAGGCACTGTGCTAACCAATCCTAAACCCGCTGCTGTGGACTTCATTTGATGCTACAGGACAGAGCAGAACTGCCCAGAGTCTCCAGAGTTGGAATCTTTGTGAACTTGAGCAGGACAGAGATTAGGAGGATGGTTCAGGACAGCTCAGGGTTCAGATCTGTTCATAGGGTCACCCACTAGATGGCACCTAACTACTGCAACAACAATCTTTGAGGAAAGGAGCCCTGGTGGGGTGCTAACCAGAAGATCACAGGTTCAAACCCACCAGCTGCTCTGCCAGGAGGAAGACGAACAGACTCGTCCTGGAGAGATTTATAGCCTCAACCTTCTCGGAACCTGCTTCACCCCTTTCTCCTCCAGGGTGGCTAGTGGGTTTCGGTTAGCATCTGAGCACCCTAACCACTGCATGACAAATTGCAAACAAGAGTTTATAGAAATGTAGTTGCCCAAGCATTGTTTTTCATCTCTTGTTTTAAATGCATTCATCGAAGAGCGCTGCTAAAAAAAGTGATTCGTATCCAAACCGGTATTTACAGTTACCGATCGCTAAGAGGTAGCAGTCACTGTTGTAATCTCTGCTCATGAATGCAGGATTGTGTTGGCTGATGTTAGGAAACAAACAGAAATTCAAAATACTACCCAATTAGAGATTTTATCTGGAAATAGAGGCAATTATTCTTTTTTAGCAATTATGCTGTAACAGTTCCATTCTTGACATTTAACACTGACCATTAATTTCTGTAGTTGGGATTTATTGCCTGGAGGTAAACTATGTTACAACTGGGCTAGTCAGTGTGTGTACAGGAGATAATTCAGGCTCAGTTCCAGACCGCCACAAAAAGCACATCAATAAAACAAGTCACATGAAATTTTTGGTTTCCATATGCATAGTAAAGTTATGATCACACTACAAGAATGTAGTTTATTAAATATGCAGTGTTGTTGTTAAGTGCTGTTGCATTAACTATGACTCACAGTGAGCTTTGAACAAGGGATCTGAATCCTGCCCTGTCCTTTGCCATTGCCACCATCTCTGATACGCTGGAGCCCACCTGTTAGAGTCAGTGTGGTGTTCCACCTTGTGAAGGTCTTCCACCCTCTTCTCTGACCCTTCACCTTTCCAAGTCTAATGTCTTTTCCCAAGGACTGGTCATTCCTAACACCATGCCCAGAGTATGCGAGATGAAGTTTCACGGTCCTTGCTTTTAAGAAGCACCCTGGCCGCATCTTTTCGATGACATACTTGTATGTTGTTTTGGGAGTCCACGGCATAATCAGCACTCTTCTCCAACACTGCAACTCAGAGGCATCGAGATGTTGAAATGCTGTGAAAATTACCAAAATGCAGCTCAGAGGTAGAAAATAAGTACATGCTGTTGGAAGAATGTTGCTGATAGACGTGCTTGTCACAGTGTTGCCAGCGACCTTCAGTTTGTCAAAACCCAAAAATGCGGTGTCTGTGAAGTGCTGCAGAGTGACACTCAATAAAGCAAGATTGCCTGTACCATCCCGACTCTGTTTTAGGCCACTGGTGTGTACCTGAGCACTCTTCATACATCAAAAGCATGCTATTCGAAGGAATCTTCTTGGCAGAAATCTTTTAAGTGAAAAACACAGTCTTTTCTTGGTATCATCTGAGCAGTCACTGATGGCTGTCATTTTGTGCTGTTGATGGATTACAGCTCACGCTGCTGTTAGGTGTTGTGGAGTGGCGTCTGATTGATAAGGGCCTTGTGTACGACAGAAGGAAACCTTCTCTGATCCTGTGCCGTTCCCTTACTCTGTGTTTCATGTGTCTGTTCACTCACGGAGGCTCTCCATCCCCTTCTTGAATCGCTGCCTTTCCAAGCGTCTGTCCTTTTCCGGGGTCTGACCCCTCCTGATGCCATGCCCAAGGACTGTGCGCCAGGTCTCACCATCCTTCTAAAGAACGCTCCTCTGGCTTCACTCTTGCCTTGGTACGTTTGTGTGTTCTTTTGGCAGCCTATGATATATTCAGTATTCTTCTCTAACATCACAGTCATAATGATGCTCCGTGGTGTTACTAAACTGTAATCTTTTTAAAAGGAGCACGTGCTAATTTTTTCCTCGCATGTAGTGCTTGGTGGGTTCAAAGCACTGACCTTACATTTTGTAACCATGCACTTAAGGATTACATCACCAGGACTTTTTATGGTTGGAGGATATTTTTATGTTTAGGTATTTTTGAAAATTTTTTTTCTTGCTGAACTCAAGCTAATAAAACATTCTTTGCTTTTTTAAAATTTTTTCCCCCCTTTCAGTTCAAGATGGTACAAGTTCTTAGACTTGTAATTCTGGGTTGAACACAGGAGAGTTTGCATTGTTTCAGGTCTTCTATTATACCTAGGAAATGGACTTGTGAGGTTGATTGTTAGTTTATTATTAACTTTCATTGTAATATTAGAACATTTAATTTAAAATATTCTTCCATTCTCCTTTTACAATGAGTAGGCCCAGCGTCTCTCTTAGAGTCCTCCCTCCTCCCGTTGTTCAGAGCATTTAAAGGTAATTTAGATCCACATCAGCTGCTTTATGGTGGGTTAGTGGCTTAGCCCTGCAGCTAAGGCCTAAGGATTCAGAGCCCTTTTATCCTACAACCTTGTATTAATCTTTCCCGTAAAAGCTTTGCAGTTTGCATTATGTGATGGGTGAAATGCAGTATTTTCTGGAAATCTCTAGGCAATAGAGATCTTGAAGGTTTTCTTTGTAGTTTAAATAACCAAAGATTGTCTGGTTGGAAGGTCTTTGCTAGAAGATTATGATAAAATTCCCTGTATTGATCAGCGGCAAATATGACTTCTTCCTTGAGAGGAACTAGAGCAAATTACCCAGATAAGTTAACATGTGTGAAGTGAAAATCCCCTAGACCCTCGTGATAAATTAAGGATGAGTAAAAATCTCCTGTGGTGAGTATTGCCTGAAAACTTCTTGGGTGAAGTACTTTCATTTAGAAGATGACATGAGTGAAAAGAGATGTCATTTTTGAGTCTTTGTGTTGAAAACAGCTCTGTGTATTAATTCCTTCAAGAGAGCGGGAGCGGGAGAGACCCAGGCACCGGGACGGCCGAAGATCACCATCTTTGGAAAGGCCCCACAACAAAGAGTATAAGAAAGCTGGAAGGTAAGCAAGGAGCTGGCACTAAAACAGGAGAGAGGCCATCCCGCTGCTGGTGGACTCTTTTCATTTTGATGTCATGTTTATGTCTCAGATACGGAGTCGGCCCAGGACAGCCTAGGATCTGTCCAAATGCTGAAGCAGCTAGTACTTAACCACCTCTACCCTTGAGATGTATTGAGCATGCATGAAGAAACTTTGACAGATTTCCAAAATCCAGGAAGCATGTGGGTCCCTTTTCTTGACTGCAGGATATAAAGCTATACAGCAAGAATTCATGTTGCCTTTTTTTTTTTTTAAAATTTAATAGTTATGTTCTTAAATGAACTTGTCCTAGGGGGGAAAAAAGAACCCATTTGTTATCAGCCAAAACTTTTAGGGTGTGACCAAAGCTTTCATCCAGAAGGAAAGGTCTTACTGTGAGGATTGTGCAGGCCCAGGCAGCATTTTATACTGTTGTTTGTTGTATCACTTGGAGTCAGAATGGACTTGACTTGATAGCAACAAAAAATAGGAGCAGCACTCTAGAATTGAGAAGCTCTGAAGCAGCCAATTATTAATATTTTCTCATCTTTGTTATTGGGCAGTTGCATCTTCCAGAACCTCAATGTCTTTATGTATAAAAGGAAAGTTATATGAAGAACATTGAGATACGACAAGTGAAACAATGAGAATGGGGCCTAAAGTATTGCCAGGTTTATCTTACAGATGTGTATATGTGTGCTTGTATGTGTATGGGTCGTTCCCGTGAAACTTTTTGGAAGTCAAAATGGTGTAAGGTGAAGAAACAGTTACCAGTAGTTTATATGAGAAAAGTTTTTTGCGTCTTCCTAGGTCAACATGGACTGACTCAGTGACTAGGGTCATGGGGGTGGGTGTGTCAGAGACAAGAAGATTGACACAGGATGGAGCAGGGTTTAGGGCTGTTGTACATAGGGTCTCTATGAGTCACAGACGACTTGATGGCACATAATAACAACAACAGGCCTGAAAGTAGCTTACTAAATCATATCAAGTAATACATAAGACCTAAAAGGACTGCAGCCTTCAATATGGATTGAAGCTCAACATCAAGAAAACAAAAGATTCTCACCACTGGGCTAACGGGCAGCATCATGATAGATGGTAAAGAGATTGAGATTTTATTAACAGCTTTAGTTTCCTTGGCTCCACAATCAAAACTCTTGGTACCAATAGCCAGGAAATCAAGAGATGAATTGCATTGGGGAAGTCAGCTGTCAGAGACCTCTCCAAGATACTGAAGAGCAACGATGTCAGTCTGGAGACTGAGATGCACCTAATCCAGGCCATAGTCTTTGCAATTACTTGCTATGCATCAGAAAGCTAGATAATGACTAGGAATGATAAAAGGAGAATTGATACCTTTGAACTGTGGTGTTGGAGAAGAGTATTGAAAATACCATGGACTGCTAGGAGAACAAATAGGTTCGTCCTAGAGAGGGTGAGACCAGGCTGTTCCTTGGGAGGCAAGGATTCTGAAGCTTTCTCTGACATACTTTGGACATATTGCAGGGAGGGACCGGTCCTTCGAGAGGGACCGCTTGGGAAGGTGGAGGGACAGCACACGAGAGGAAGACCCTCGATGAGATGGATTGATTTAGTCACTGGTGTAATGGGAGGAGGTTTGTCAGAGACAATAATTTTAGCACAGGATGGAGCAGGATTTAGGGATGTTGTACATAGGATCACTGTGAGTCATAGATGACTTGTTGGCACATAACAACAACATGGTCATATCGCCAGGTTGTATGTGTAGACAGGACTCAAAACTGTGAAGCCTTGATTCTGATAGTAGTTCCTGGAGAAGGAGTTTGCCAGTGCCATTCTCACAGCTTGGAGCACTCTGATGGCTCGCTGCAAAACAAAGGCTGAGTGTTAGTTTGCTTTTTCGTCTTTTTTGGGCAAAAGTGAAAATCCTCTAGATTTGGTTAGTGAAAATAAGTATTAATGTAGATCTTTCATAAAAGTTCATTGACACAAAGAACTTTTGGAAAGTAGGGGACTTGTATATAAGTATACAGTTACTTTTAGGAGCCCTATTGGTATAATGGTTAAACACTTGTTTGCTTCCTGAAGGCTTGATGGTTTGAACGTGCCCTGTGTCTCTGAAAGAGTTGTTGCTTTTGTTATTATTAGCGACCCTGACTACCACAGCTCTGAGTCTTGTCGTGTCCTGAGCCAACCTCACCACCTCTGACACACCTGACCCCATTCCCACTGTGTCAGTCCATCTCATCCTCTCTGGTGCTGACCCACCACCCTTCCAAGCATGATGTCCTTCTGTAAGGACTGGTTTCTCCTCTGAAGGGATAAAGACTTGGAAATAATATTGCAGAGAATCCAAAGCCATCAAGTTGTTTCTGCTCTTTAGTGACCCTGCAGTAGAACTGTCCCATAGAGAGTCCTAAGGCTGTAATGTTCACAGAAGCAACTGCCACGTTTTTCTTATGTGGGGCAGCTGGTGAGTTCCAACCAGTGACCTTTTGGTTGGTAGCCAAGCGCTTAACCACTGTGCCACCAGCACTTCTACCTTGAAGATTATGAAAAAACCCTACATGGCAGTTCTAGTCTGCATGTGAAGTCACGATGAGTCAGAATCAACTTGAAAACACCTAGTGACCACAAACCACAGCACATGGATAATTAGTATGTGAGCCTTGGCTCTGGACATTGGAAAAGTTACAAAATGCAGAAAAATGAAATAAGTACAATGAAAATCAAGTGTAGCAATGTAATGGTATTTGCAAATGAATACAGGACTCAGTTCTTGGAAAAGCTCAATGCAATATAGAAAGTAGCAAATTGAGAGAGAGAGAGAGAGTGTCATAGGAATGGAGATGACTTACAGTGATAAAATATTGGTATTAGTACAGATATTTGATCTTTAAAGTTTAAATAGCTTAGAGGAGTTAATTTCCAGGAAAACAAAAATCCAAACTGTTTACAAGAAGCAGAGCATTCTAGTAAGCCAGCAACCGTAGAGGAAATTAAGAAAGTTTAATAGGGTAGTAGTTTATCAACTCAACTTTAATAGCAGAAAAACTCAGCTGATAGAACCTGACCCAGAAAGAGAAAAATGACAAGACATCCTTCCTTAAGAATAGAGATGCAAAAGTACCAATGAGAATACCGGCAGCTGTTGTTAAAGTAACTGTAATTCTTCATGTCAAACTGTAGTGTTAGCCCAGTAGCTGCCTGGTAAGAGCTTAATAAAACATGACACTGATTTATGAGTAAAAACATTAGTAAACTGGCAATGCATTCTGTTTTCTTTAACATGATGAAGTTGTTGAAACTCTCTCAAAGAGAGCTGTATTCAGTGTTGAAATTGTAGGGTCTTCACATCCAAATTGAGAATGAAACAAAAAGGCTTCACTGTCTGGCATTATCACTTATGGCCTCACAATTCAGTTATTGAACGTGTTAAGATCGTACACATTCTTGGGTGTCTCAGGCACTGTAGAGAAATTTGTGCTCTGATCGGAGAGTTTCATATTGCTCTGGGAATACACAATAGTGCAGAACCCCTCTAGGGTGGTCAGAGCAATTGATATTTTGCTGATACCTGAGCTGTGAGTTGCAAAGGAGGATGGTAGCAGAAGAGAGAATAGCTTGTGTGTAGGTTACAATGTGGAGAGAGGCATTGGGAAACGCTCACATTATGGGGAGTTTCCCTAGGAATCCCGTGCATGGGCTGATTGTGGCCTAGAATAGTATGACAGCGTGTGGGGAAGGATGGAGGGACAGCGTAGGAGAAGAAGCCCCTGGAAGAGATGGATTGATACAGTGACTGGGGCAATGGGCGTAGGTGTGTCGGAGTCAGTGAGACTGGCTCAGCACAGGGCAGGCTTTAGAGCTGTTTTATGTAGGGTCACTGAGTTACAGGCAACGTGCACATAACAACAATGAAGCAGAAAGACGTGCTTGAGAGATAATTACGAGATAGATCCAGTAGGACTTGATAACCTGTCTCATTGTTTAGAGAGAGCCAAGATGAGTTGAGAGTAACCACTTGAGATCTAACGCTTCACCAGTGGAGAGCATCAAGAGAAAGGGAAGGGGTTGCCTTCAATTTTGGCCTGTTAAGATTGAGAACCTGAGAGACAACCAGTGGGTCTGTATGGGAGTCAATTGATATGCAAGTGCAAAATTTAGAAAAGACATCTGAATTGGAAACCCTGTTGCCTTTGGAGGAGATGAGGTTAACTTGAAAGACGTTGATTAGTGAGAAGAGCCTGAGAGAGAGGAGGGGATCCAAGGGTCTGCTGAGGGGCTGCATGAGGCTGGAAACACTGCCAGCGAGTGTGCTGGAGGTCTCCCTGGTTTCTTTTTCATTGCCTGTACCTTGTGGAGTGAACCAAGACTTGGATTCCGAGTTCTAACCAATGCAGTAAATGAGGAAATACACATCAGAGATGTAAACGTTGTAAGGAGAAAACGTGAGCAGAGTTTACAGTACATCACAGTTTTAGGAAGAAGAATTTTGCAATTCAATACATAATCCTTTGAGGTCAATAACTGTAACACCTGTAGGAGATGCTTCTGAAATGCCCCTCTCATAGCAGTTTTTATTTTGAAGTACTAGTTGATGTTCATAAGATACAACTATGACTTAACGATATACAACTAGTCAGACCAATAATACGAACTATGATCTGTAGTGTACAACTGTGAACTATTAGCCAAGGTGGATGAGGATGTCTTTGGACAATGTTTCTTTCTTTTTTTTTTAATTAATTTATTTTATTTTTATTATTTGTGTGTGTGTGTGTGTGTACACTGTCAAATTGGACAATGTTTCTTGATAGTAGTCAATAGTTAAAATATTTACTATGATTTTCAGAATGTTTGTGCCAATCACCATATTAGTATTTGACATCTGTTGCCTTGATTTGTGCTACTGGGTCAGTGATGTCATCTCCAGGACACTTTCCCCCTCTGTAAGGACGTTAATAGCTGCCTCTCAGGGCACTTAGAAGGGTTCCGTGTGAGAGTGAGGGTGAGTGCTTCACAGCACGTCAGGCCCACGGGAAACAGCTGTCTGCAGGCTCAGAGTTGTCACTGTTGGCTGGTGGTATAACAGAAAATTCAAGAGGATCAGCTAAGAAAGTGTGAGAATTTACTAAAGTTAGAAGGTTACAGAATGAACAGATCAAAAATTAGTAACATTCCAAGTACCAGGAATGTGAAAATCGGAAAATGCAAATGGGATAAAAAAAATTGATTTCACTACAGGAAATTTAAAATATCTTGAAACTTCACAAAAATATATAGAAAGAAAAGAAGAAAACTGTAAAATGTAGATCATAGTCAAAAAAGGTGATATTCATGGATGGATGTTATACTTTATTCCTGTAGTGCAAGTCCCTCTTATAAAAATACTGATTTTTCTTGAAAACAAAGTGTAAATTTAGTGTAATGCCAGATGAGGTACTAGCTTTGGGACTTCATAATAAACCTTAAATTCCTCTTCACATAATCCAAAAATCAGTAATGCAGGGATAGTTACACTAGTTGTTGTTATGTGCCATCAAGTCTCCTGTGACTCATAGTGACCGACGCAGTGTACAACAGCCCTGAAGCCTGCCCTGTCCTGAGCCAGTCTTGCTGACTCTGACACACCTACCGCCATTGCCCCAGTTACTGTATCAATTCATCTCATCCAGGTTTTCCTTTCCTGCACTGTCCCTCCACTTTTTGAGCATGATTTCCTTCTTCAAGGACTGGTCACTCCTGGCCACATAGCCAAAGTATGTGAGATGCAGCTTCAAAATTCTAGCTTCCAAGGAGAAACTTGGTATCATCCTCACCAAGATAGATTGTTTTCTTGGTGGTCCATGGTACGTTCAAGACTCTTCTCCAGCACCACAACTCAAAGGCAGGATTCTTCTTTCATCCTTAGTCATTGTCCAGCTCTCTGATGCATATAGCAAGTAATTGAGAGGAGTAAGGCCTGGATAAGGTGCACCTTAGTCTCTAGACTGACATCATTGCTTCTCCATACTCTGGGAAGGTCTCTGACAGCAGATTTTTCCCAGTGCAATTCATCTTTTGATTTCCTGACTGCTGGTACCAAGAATGTTAATAGTGATACAACTAAATGTTAAATGTGTTATTAAAATATCTGGAGATACATAAGAATTAAAATAATGTGCTGTACAGACAGCTGGATCAATGAAATAAAAATCCACAAAAACAAACACACAAAATCCACAAACATTTAGGCATATATACAAATTTGCATCTATCAAAATGTTGAGTTTTTTCAAATTAGAAGAAATTATTGGTGGTGTGATTGGTAACCTTGTGATGAGAAAACTGAAATTACATTTCTGCTTCATCCTTTGGAGAAAGAGAGTCAGAGAACAGTTCATGTTGAAAATGCCTGGAGAGAATTATAAAATGCTTAACCTCAGATAGGAAAGGCTTTCCAAGCATGACACACAAGCAGAAAGCATAAATTAAAAAAAGAAGTAGATAGGACTTTGTAAAAATTTTATCTAGCAAAAAACCAAATTAAAAGAAAAATACGTTACAAAATAAATGACAAAACAACAATGATTTTTCTTGAGTGCTCTTTTAATAAGTAGAAAAAGACTACCATCTTTAATTAAAAATGTGATGATCCAGCCTGTGCCTGGGATGTTCATTAAAGAAGGGAATGTTCTGTATACTCATTTTAGTAGTGATAAAACTTGGCACATTATTTAATTTAATTAATTTTTTATTAGAATGGCAAATGATTAAAAGCAACCATACTGGCAGGGTGTATGGGAATGAGAACTCTCATTTGATTCTGATGGTGGTCTAAGTTGGTTCTACTTTATGAAGAGAAACTTCTTTAAAAAGTATACACTTTTGTGAAGTCATCTGAAAAGTGTGGAGAGTCATACATATGTACACATATGATGGGAAAAAATGCAAACTGCTTACATTATTATTTTGTACCACTAAGGTGGAACTTACCCATAACTGACCCTCCAGCAGGTTTTCAGAGACAGCAAATCACATGGGGAGAGACGGATTGCCTTCCATCTCCCTTGAAGCAACTGGTGGATTTGAACCACGAACCTTCAGTTGGCAGCGCAATTCTTACCACTATGCCACCATCTGCATTGTTTGTTGTTGTTGATTACAGCTGAATCAGAACTGACCCACAGCTGACCCTCTGTTGGGTTTTCAGAGGCAGTTAATTGAACGGGAGGAGATTGCTCATCCTTCTCCCACAGAGCAGCTGGTGGATTGAAACCTCATGCCTGTGGGATTGCAGCGCAGCTTCTTTTCTCTAGGCTGCATGCATTAGATTTGCTAAATGACCTCGTAATATCTGTTAAATTATTGCACATCTGCATGAAAGAATAATATACACCCATTGAAAATCACTCATTATATATTGAGATAGATTTATTATTGAATGAGAGCAGTTGACAAAACAACAATGTAGTGCTCAGTTTTTATTAAAAAACTTATGTATGTTTACTTTTCTGCAAGTAATGTGAGTTGTATGTTTTTTGCAAGCTGCACAGTCTGTTCAATGGTTTTGTGTGTGTGCTATGCACGTTGTCTGTGTGTGTGATTTATGTGGGTTGTGGACAAATATGGTGTCTATTCATATACAAAATGAACATGTGTATGTGTATATGTCTTAACATTTGTGAACTGTAGTGGTTCTCTCTATGTGGTGAACGGGTGATTTCTGCTTTAATTTTGCCTCTGTGTAACCTCTTTTTGATAAGGCTTAGAGCATACAATCTTCTTTGAAAGTAGTTACTTTTTAAATTTTTATTTTATTAATTTTAATGAACGTTTACATAGACTTAGGGTTTCCATTCATTCATTGTTGCACTTTTCTCCCCTTCTCCCAATTCACTCTTCTCCTTGAAAAGTAAAAGAAAAACTCTTTGATTGTTACACAGTCCCTCCCTCCAAGTCCACTCCACTGTGCAGCCTTCATTCTGGACTCCTGTCAGGACAATAATACCCAATCATATATCCCTTTTAAACTGTTCTCTCCCTCATCTGTTTCAATCCAGTATATATCATCCATTCCCTCCTTCCCTGTCTTCCCTCAACCCTGGTGTCAGTCCCATTTTACAACAGTGGCCCTTTGCAATATTTGTCCTTTTGTGATTGAAATATTTCACTCAGCATAATGTCCTTCAGGGTCATCCATTTTATATAATATTTTATGAGTTCCTTGTTGTTCAATGCAGCATAGTATTCCATTGTGTCAATATACCAGAGCTTCTCTATCAATTTGTTTGTTCATGGCCACCTGGGTTGTTTCCAGCTCTTTGCTATTGTGAACAAAGCCACAGTAAACATGGGTGTGCGTGTATCTGCTTGGGTGGAGGTTATGATTTCTTTAGGGTAAAGTAGTTATTTTCTAGTAACAGTTAATGATGTCCATTGTGGTAACATAGTTAATGATGTCCATGGTAATATTTAGAAGTTATATACATAAGAAAGTAATATTATAACCTAACTATGTAATCATTTTACCCCCTTGTACTTTCTCTACTATGAGATTAGAAAGAATTAGTTTATAGTTTTGATTCTGACTTGGACTTTTTGCAGCAGTGGGAACATTGTCAACAGGGAGTCCTGTAAAGGAGTTAGTTCTACCCTTGCGTGGATTTTCAGGGTCTATATTATTCTATGTAAAATCCCTTCCACGTATGTCCACAGGATAGGCTTTAGCATATTTTTTTTAAGCCTCTGAAGTTTAAGGAGATGATTGTTTTCTCTTTTCTTTATGAATTGTGTAAATCCTAGCAAGTATGCAGCTTGACTCACTAAGTAGTAATACATCTGGCATTATTAAAATAGCCATCTGAGAGCTGATTGTGGGTCTGTAACTGGGTGCCTCTTGTTGCTGTGTGTTGTTGGGTCAGAACTGACTCATAGCTGACCCTCCATTGGATTTTCAGAGGCATTAATCACAGGGGAGGAGATTGCTCATGCTTCTCCTGTGGAGCAGCTGGTGGATTCAAACTGAGGGCCTTACCACTAGGTGATCAGAGCTCCCTGGGTCACTTCTTAGATGATATATTCCTCTGGCTTACTTGACACCAGGAATTCCTTTTTTCTTTCTACATTTTTCCTGGCAACGCAAGAGGTGAAATATTCCAAAGTAGTATTTTCGTTGCTCATATGGTCTCAGTGTGGAGATTTCCAAATATTCCTAGGTATTTTTCTCTTTTAGGAATTATGGTTTACCAGTTGTTCCTGACCCTGGATGCACACCAGAATTACCTGGGGAGATTACTAAAAATACAGATTCTTGGGCTCCACCCCCAGAGACTATAAATCAGTAAGTAGACCTGGGGTAGGGCCTGGGAATTTGTATTTCTGACCACTTAAACTTCAGGTGATTCTGATGCCACCCGACTGACGTTTGGGAATCACTGGTTTAACAGAAATAAATATGGTGGTTTGGAATGGCATTTGTATTATTTGTGATAAATGAGCTTAATAGAGGTGAAGCTAGAATTTTTTTCAAGGTGGAAGAATGGTTTAATGAGTAGCCTCCTTTGCCCCCTTTTGAAGCCGTTCCCCTAGTAGGGAGAAGAAGAGGACTCGGTGGGAGGATGAGAAGGACAGATGGAGCGACAGCCAGAACTCTGGCAAAGAGAAGAACTTGACCTCCATCAAGGAGAAGGAAGCCGAGGAGGCCCTGGCTGACAGGAACGAGGAGGAGGAGGAAGAGCTGCTTAAACCCGTGTGGATCCGATGCACCCATTCTGAAAACTACTACTCCAGCGACCCCATGGATCAGGTGGTAGGTCTGGGTAGGAGAGACGCCGCAGGCCTGGCCCCCTCAGCCTTGCTGCTCCGGGCAGTAAAATTCCTTTTTGAGGGTCTGTCCTGTGCATTGTAGGATGTTCCGGAGCATCGTGGACCACTGCCCAGGAGATAGCCGAAGCCCTGCCTTCCTTGTTCAGGGCTCCACAAACAAAATCGCTTCCAGCTGGTCTCACATGTGCCCTGGAGGTAGCTCCTCCCCTGGTTCAGAATCATTCCTTGAGACAAAAGTTATTTTAAAGAGGAGCAACGTTGTGATAGATTAATTAAAGTACCCAGTTATTTATTTATTTTTGTTATTGTTGTTGTTTGGGTTTTTGTTTTTTTTGTTAATTTTTACTGTGATTTTAATGAAAGTTTACAGGAAGATTGGGTTTTCATTCATTCATTGTTACTCATTCTTCCTTCCCACTCCCTTCCTCTCAAAAAAACACTTTGCAATGCACCCCTTGTTCCAGATTGTTGTCTAACATATAAGGCCTAATGATATATTCCTTTCAGAGAGTTCTTCCCCCCCCCCCCGTTCCAAGGTAATGTTCCTTATCTAGCCATTCACTCTTTTCTTATTCTCCCCCTAATCTCCCATGCCAGTCCTATTTTATAACATTGGTGTTACGTGGTATTTGTCCTTTTGTGACTGAGATATTCACTCAGCATAATGTCTTCCCATTGTTGTCAAATGTGCACCTGAGGTTAACAACCCCTTTCCCCGGCTCAGAACAAGTTATTTTAAAAAGAAGTAACATTCCACACATTCAATGAAGTCCCCCTTTTCTTTGCATTTTTTGTGGCATTGCTTATCTTGGTACAGTGGCTTTGTAAGCGCTCACCTTATTTGGTGTGATTACTTCCTACAGCCTTTGATGTGCATCCAGTATGTATTTGCATTTCTTCCAGTTGGGGAATACGTGAGAGTTTGAGTTTTGCCTCTTGTATTTCCTTGACCGAAGGACGAGCCCCTTTGCCATGACTGTTGACTCACTCATCAGTCACATTCTTCTTCACCAGTCACCTTTCAGGGGCTGAGTGTGGCCTCCTGACCTTGCACTGGAGGGTAAGCTCTGGTGAGCATTGGTGAACACATTGCCAAGGTGGTAGTATTTGTGACTTTTCTTGTCTGTTTTATAGGATAGATTCCCATGTAGCATTTTCAGGATGCAGAAACTATAACTTATCTTTCTCACTTTTGCGCTCATAACAACCCTGGATGGAAGGTATTATATGACTCCTATTGACCCTGTGAATAATAGATCTGAACCCTGTCCTGTCCTGTGCCATCCTTATTGTCTCCCAACACACTTGCCCCATTGTTGCAGATTCTGTGTCTATCTATCTGGTTGAGGGTCTTCCTTTTTTTGCTGACCCTCTACCTTTCCAAGCATGATGTTCCTTTCCAAGGAATAACCTCTCCTAGCAACATGCCCAAAATATGTGAGGTGAAGTTTGCCATCCTTGCCTCTATTTTCAAAGACATATGTTTCTTCTTTTGACATTCCATGGAGTATGCAGTGCCCTTTTCCAGTGCGAAAACTCAAAGTCATCAGTTCTTTTTTCATCTTTATTCATTTTTCTAGCACTTTGATACAAAGCAAGTGACTGAAAAGACCAAGATTTGAATCAGGCACACCTTGGTCCTCAGACTGACATCATTGCTCCTCAGTTATATGGAGATATCCCTGTTGGTGGATTTGCCCAAGGCAGTATATCTCCTGATCTTCTGACTGCTAGTACCAAGGGTGGTGATTGTAAATCCAAGTAAGATGAAATTGTTGACAAATGCCTAGACCAAGAAGCTGTTGTCTGAATGGAGCAAGAGAACACCATGGTTTAAAATCAGGACAGATACACTTCAGAGTTGTATCTTTTCTCCATACCTATTCATTCTGTATGCTGAGCAAGTCATTCGAGAAGCCTGACTATATGAGGAAGAATACAGCATCAGGATTGGAGAAAACTCATCAACAACCTGTGCTTTGCAGATGACAACCTCATTGGCTCCAGATGAGGAGGACTCGATACACTTACTGTAGAGCATCAAAGACTATAGCCTCCATATGGGTTGCATCTCACAGCACGAAGACAAAAATCCTAACCCTGGACTGAGAGGCAGCATCATGATTGTTGTTGTTAAGTGCCATCAAGTCAGCTACTTATAGCCATTCTATGAACAATAGATGGAAACATTGTCCTATCCTACACCATTTCTGCAGTCTCTGCCATACTCGAGTCAGTTGTTACAGTCGCTGTATCAATCCATGTTAAGGGTCCTCCTCTCTTTTGCTGACCCTCCACATTTCCCAGTGGGAGGTCTTTTTCCAAGGACTGGCCTTTCATGACAACATTCCCAATGTATACGAGACAAAACTGTACCGTCCTTGCCACTAAGGAGTGCCCTGCTTGGACTTGCTCCAAGACAGACTTGTTTTTTTGGAGTCCATGTGAGATTCAGTACTCTTCTCTAGCACCACAACTCAGCTTCAGTTCTGCTGCCATCTTTATCATCCAACTTTCTGAAACATAGGAAGCAATTGAAAATACTGTTCTTTGAATGCTCACGTTAAAACTGATATTCTTGTTCTTTGACACTTGGGAGAGATCTGACAGTAGATTTTCTTTCCCATTGCAACATGTCTTGATTTCTTGACTGCTGTGACTGGGGATGATGATTGTGACGCAAGTAAAACTAAATCGTTGACAACTTAAATCTTTTCTTCATCTGTGAAGATGTTGCCTCTTAATCCAATGGTGAAGATTTTGTTTTATTGATGAAGAGCTGTACTCAGCTGAAGGCTGTAGACTTTGATTATCTGTAGCAAGTGCTCCCAGTCTTCTCTGTGGCAAGGCTGTGCCATCTATCTACATGACGCAGGTTGTTGATGACTCTGATGCCTCAGTCTTCTTCATATAGTCCAGCTTCTCGAACAATATGTTCAGCCTTCAGATTGAATAGGTATCAGCTGTGAATTGTTTTTGTTGTTAAGTGATGTTGAGGTGAGTACAGCTCACAGCGACCCTATGAACAACAGATTGGAACCCTGTCCTATCCCAGGCCATCCTTATCCTTGACACATTTAAGCTCAGTGCCACAGACTGTCTGTCAGTCCATCTTGTTGCAGGGCTTCCTCTCTTTCACTTACTCTCCGCCTTTGTAAGCATGATGTCCCTCTCTAAGGAGAGCCTCTCCTAACAACATTCCCAAAGTATGTGAAACGAAGATTCACCATCATTGCCTCCAAGGTGCATTCTCGTTGTGCTTTCTCTAAGACATACTTACTTGTTCTTTTAGCAGTCCATGAGATATTTCAAAATGATCTCTACCACTACTGTTCAAGGTTGCTGTGATACTGAACACTGTGACACTGATATGTCAAATGCAATAATGGTTACCCATGGTGTGGACAGTGTTTGGTGGAGCTTCCCGATTGAAACAAGCTAATGGCGTCCACTTCCGAAATAGCTTGCCTCCAGAAATACGATGAACTTGGAGAAACAATGAAAGTTATCCAAGTGTCTAGGTCTTCCATTCACAGGGTAGCTATGATTCGTCTACGACTCAATGGCACTTAACAACAGCAACAACATAGAGAGAGCTCTGTTGGCCTCATGGATAAAAAGTTATGTTACCAAACGAAAGATAGGTACTTTTAATCTGCAGCTTTCAGGTCTGGTTTTAATTGTTTTTGGTCAAACATTCTTCTAAGTGGTATAGCACTGGTCTGTCCATTTGCTGTACAGAGGTAACGTGTGGTTGCTGTGATGCTAAACACTGTGACACTAATGTGTCAGATGTGATAATGGTTATCCATAGTGGACAGTGTTGGGTGGAGTTCCCCAATTAAAACAAGCTTGGAAGCAGGAGTGGCATCCACTTCCGAAATAGCTTGCCTCCAGAAACTTTTTGAACTTGGAGGAATGATGAAAGTTATCCAGGTGTTCAGGTCTTTTGTTAATAGGATTATGAGTTGTCTGTGACTTGACGGCACTTACCAACAGCAACAACAACCATAGTTCAAAGGCCTCAATTCTTTCTTTGCCATCCTTACTCATTGTTCAGCTCTCAGATACATAGCAAGTGACTGAAAAGATAATGCCTCAATCAAGTACAGCTTTGTCTTTAAATTGACATCATTGCTCTTCAGCACCTTGACGAGGCCTCCGATAACATTTTTACCCAATGCATGTTTCCAGATCTTCTGACTGCTGCTACCAGTAGTTTTGATTGTGAATCTGAGCAAGAAGAAATCATAGACCATTGCAATCTTTTCTTCAGCTGTTATAATGTTTTCCTTTGCTCCAGTGGTGAGGATTTTTGTTTTCTTGATAGTGAGGTATAATCCATAATGAAGTCCTTGATCTTCTGCAGCAGCTCTTCACTTAGAGCCAGCAAGGTTCTGTCATCTGCATAATTCACGAGTTTTCCTCCAGTCTTCTTGTCACACTCTTCAAAAAGTCCAGATTCTCTCATAATTTGCTCAACATGTACATTGATGAGGTATGGAGAATAGATGCAGCCTTGATACATACCCTTCCCAGTTTTAAACCATGCAGTGTTCACTTGCTCTATTCGAACAATAGCTTCTTTATTGGTTATAGGTTTCATATAAGCACAGTTAAGTGTTGTAGAATTCCCATTCTTATCACTGTCAGCCGCAGCTTGTTTTGATCCACACAGTCAGATGCCTTTGCATAGTCAATAAAGCACAAATAGACATTCTTCTAGTATTCTTTCCTTTTAGCCAGGATCCATCTGATTTCAGCAGTGATATCCCTGGTGCCACTACTTAAACTTCTGGCATAGTTGCATGCATGTTGTTGTTATGTGCCTCATAGTGAACCGATGTACAATAGCTCTGAAACTTGCCCTGTCCTGAGCCAGTCTCACTGACTCTGACACAACTACCCCCACTGCCTCAGTTACAGCATCAATCCGTCTCATTTTTTTCTTCTATGCTGTCTGTCTACCCTTCCAAACATGAT